CATGGAGCGGTTCATAGAGCGGCCCGTAGAGCGGCTCATACAGCGGTTCATAGAGCAGCTCATAGAGCGGCTCATCGAGCAACTAGTAGAGCAACTCATGAAACGCCTAGAGCGCCTACGGGTAGATCGCTGGGAACCGATTCCCAATGATTCCGAAAGTGATTCTGGGGCCGCCTTTCGGATCAGTGGGGGTCAATTCCCAGTGATCTAGAGCAGTGGTCCCAGTGGGATCACGTTTGAGAATCCCTGGGCATCGATTGATTCCCAGTGACCAAAGAATATTGATCCCAATGATGTTTTGGACTGACAAGAATGCCCCCCAAAACGCCTCAGGACGGCCCGCGAGACCCGCAAGAAGGCGCAAGCGATTTCCAATCCAGCCCCAAGAGAGGCCCAAGATCGGAAACCCGAACTGACATTTCGAGCCCCAGGAGGTCCACAGGAGGTTCCCATGAGGCCCCCAATATGTCCCCCAGAGACCCCTAAGAATGTTCCCGAAGTTTACACGAGCCCTCAAAGAAGACGCGTCTCAAGAGACCCCATGAGGAAACTTAAATGTCACTGGTCCACAACCACGAATGTGGACCCTGCCACTGTGGCGCTCGGTGGAGGCCCCTATGGAGCCACGAGACGTGTGTGGGGTTCCTGGATCAATTGGCTCGTTTTGGCTATGTGGTGTGCCCGCGGTCAAGCTTTTTGCCCCCGCTGCTGATGTGCGTCCCCCGTTTAGATCGCTGCGTAATTCTGGTGCGTGTGGCACGTCGCACGCTGTCGGCATACTTTTCTTTCTGCGCCACCAAGCCACGCAACTCAAATGCGAAGCCTCGAGAATACCTCCCACACTCGCACGCCCAACCCACTTCAACTACTCCTATCTTGCTTTTAAGCCGACACCTGAGCATGTTTGCAATCCTCCATGTCACACCCCGACATGTCACTGCATTCGAAGACTATGCGCTATCCCTTTGCCAACACAACATGTCTGCGCAACGCAACGAGTCTAGAACAAAATCTTGGAATCAATTAGCACATCAACCAACGATTACTCCATGTGCGTGCGGGAATGTTCCGGGAAGCCAGACACACTAAGGTTTCTTCCCTGCGGGGCCCCAACCAAACCTGTCCGAAACCGTCGCGTGCACCTCGAAACACACATTCAACGTCCGATAGCGCGCCACCGCAACTCGTGCTACACGGGTACCCCCTTATCCTGACATGCATCTCAAAAACTTCGTGCGCTTGAACTCCCTAACGATCAGGTGTGATAGTTCCGAGAAGGAAGATGGAACCCACCCATCGAATGCAATTCCGCTCGGCCTGGTGGCCAACAAGTATGCGGACAAACTGGTCAACTGCACCTTGGAACACATACGCAAAGGCAAACATAAACCAACGCACTGATGCACGCACGACTGACACTAACAAATATCAAACAACAACCACCGAAACATTCTATGTGCACGGAAACGGCTCTCGAACGTGTTTCTGGCGATTCATTTCTCTGCGCTTTTTGGTGGCACTCTGACCAACGGGTCCTTTGTAGAATTTCGGCGCGAACCGTAAGCAACTAAGCGAGCTTCCTACCGTCTGGAAAACGAACGGTACACAATGGCATTGTCTCCAATAGGAAATAATACAATGCAAATTCGAGGCCTTGACCGTGCACCTAAATCAGCGCGGCCAGGTTGACTGAGAAATTGCTGTGCTAGTCGTCATCATTCATGGCCTGTGGGCGCGAAGCTGCGAACACTTATCAGAACCGCGCTGTCCCCGCCCGTTTTGAATTAACAACCCGGAATGGGATGAGGCATCCAGAAGAACAACGGTAACGAACCCTGCCATTCGCTGAAAGAGTGTGTCCTGTGAGAGTTTAACTCCCGGCGGTGTTTCTAGCGCTCATCGAGGCTCACTGGTGCTATCTCAGTGCGAGCTTGGGGCCTGGCTGCGCATGACGACCTGGATCATAAAAAGACAAAATTCTGATCCAAGCAAGGCCTCCGAATAGGCGGCCTGGAAACATGCCGCACGGGGCGTCTCTGTGTGCTTTCCAACTGCAGTCAGTCGACAACCTCCTACAATCCACTGTTTTTGATACTTCTTATAAGAAGCCCCCAAACAGGTGTTCAGAACAATACGAGGGAGGCGTGTCAAACGACCGCATATCTTGTGCGAGAAAGACCCACACGGAATCGCCACACTCACGCACTATGGGACACAATCGGGAACTTGGTTGCGAGGACGTCCCAGGCTACATCGCCACTTCTTGAGGGCATGGCCAAGTCTCTCATCGTCCTCGACAACGGTCAGAAACCTTCGTTCAGGAAGTATGGGGCGGCACGCCACTTTCTGCAGGTCCCACTCTGCTTCTATGATATTGAAGGGGGGAGAGATACACCCTGCGAGATGCTTAAGAAATCATGGGTTAAGAAATTCATAGTCTCAGAACTTGAGTAAAAACCCAAAAAATCCACTCAAATCTTAGGGTTTACATTGAAACATTAAGAATAATCAAGACTCTGGCCAAAAAAATAGGTTTTCTTAAGCATCGCCTAAGGTGTACCTTTCAAAATCCGATCCGGCCGGTTTGAAATCCAACAATATCCTGGGGCCCGGCGGCCGAACGGGAACCCATCCATGCCTTCCTCGATCCCTGCGGTCAGCACTCGTGAATCCAACGGACTGGCCACCGCCACCGCACGGCATCATGCCGTTCTCGAACACTGTCCATGCTCCACATTCGCGCGCACATCCTTTGTCTACGACTGCTGTGAAATCAGTGGCCAACGCCAGCGCACCAGAATGCGCTATGCGCCGCATTCGTGCGCACACTCTTTGTCTTGCGACGGCGGCTGATTTATCAAGTCGAAGCGATCATTTGTTCGGAACCATGCTACTTCCAAATGCTGCCTGTGCGCCACATTCGCGTACACACCCTTCGCCTACGACTGCACTGAATTTACCACGTCGGAACGATCGTTTTTTGTAGCGATCGCCGCCAGCGCACGGAACCATGCCACTTTCAAATGCTGCCCATGCACCACACCAGGCGCGCACATTCTTCGTCTTGCGATTGCGGTACATACACCACTCTGGAGCGAACGTCTTTTTGCAACCACCGTTTGAATTTAAAGGTGGCAATTAGGACTCTACGAGGGCGGCGTGGCGACTGGATATCTTTTGCGGGGAAGACCCAAGCAAAAGCAATCCGAAACTTTGTGCGAGGAAGTCCCGAACGAAATCGCAGCTTTCTGATGGCGTGGCAAAGTTTCTGATCGCCATGGAGGGCGATCAGAAACTTACTGTTTGGAGGTACTGCGCCCAATGCCACTTTCTGATGCGGGCCCAACTTGGCCTTTATACGGTTAACGGGAATGAGAGATGCATAACCCACGCGAAGGGAGGGACCGGAGGGATGAGCATGATGGCCTAGGATTCATGGGCGCTGCGGCGGTGGTCAATCCGAAACCCACGTGGCCGTCTTTGGGAAGGCCGCACTCGCTTCCCCCGCTTCTGGCGCTGAAGAGAAGAACCATGATCGATCCAACACATCACTGAGCTGCATCGCACCCTCCCGTCCCAAGCCTCTTCCTCCTAAGTCAGTGCAGGTGCTGCCGGTTTCCACGGGCCTGCTAAATGCTCAAGACCTGGGAGGACTGATGACTCCTCATGTGGCCCTCCAGAGGTTCGGGACGCAGGACGGCTGGAAGAACCAAGTCTACACGGTCCTGCCATAAGACATGGTGAGACAATAGCTGGGTCTTGTCATACGTAATTATATTGTTCTTGCAACGTTAACATGCAGCCAACTGCTGACACATTTCTGGCCAAATCAACACCACGACGAGCCACAACATAAACAAATTATGATGAGGCGCCTTCCATCCGCGCGACTGCCATCCGACACCTTACCGCCTAGAAGAATGCCAGGGGCTGCCTGGCAAGGTTTCTGTCTGTCTTCCAAGGGCCGTGCCCCCGCCCCCCCTTTCGACACACTCCGCTGCATGCACCAGCCCTCCCTCCCGAAGCTTCCTGGGCGGTCCGACGCCTTCCGGAGGCTCTCCAAAGCTAAGGCTTCCACGACGGCCAAAGAAACCCACTAAAACTTAATATTAATCAAGGGGGCACCCATCAGCCCCTACGAAGAGCCCAAGAGGTCCTAAGAGGCCTCCAAGAGGCTCCACGAAACCTCCACGACGCTCAGCAGGCGGCCCTCGAGAAGCCAACCACATGGCTTTTGTTCCTTCATGGTTGCCCGTGTGCTTTGATTTCCACACTCTTCGCTCGAAGGTCTGTCCAATTGTAATCTTCGAGGGCCCGTAGGGCCCACTGAGAACATCAAAAGGGCTCCTAACTGGCCCACGAGGGTCCCCCAAAAGCCCGCCCGAGAGGGCCTCCGTAGGCACGTAAGACGGCATGATGGGGCCCGTAGACAACCAAAGACCCCCACACGGCCAAGAGACCCAACGACTGCCCAAGAGGGCCTCAAGACGGCCCAAGAAGGCCGCAATATTGCCCCACAGGAGCCCCAGGCACTCCCAAGACGGCCAAACAGACACAATGATTGCGCCTCAAGAGTTAGAGACGAGAGGTGTCACAAGTGAAGGTCTTGTGACTTGTGGGCGGTGCTCGAAGGGTCGGCAAACATATTGCTTCTCTGGCACGGTCCTGGATATACCGCAGGCAGCTGGATCCGCCGATCCCCGCTTGCTGGGGGTGAGGAAACGTGTGAGATGATTGGCTGTCCCCCTCCCCCCAAGCCTTGCCCCCTTCCACCTGGGTCCCCAATCTCGTTTACGGTGGGGTATGCGGGCTCCCTGGCGCACACACGGAGACTCTTGAGCTTCCAAATCTGCCTTCACTGGCCTCAGTCGTTCCAAGACGGTCCCGAATCGCGGAACGAGGCCCAAAACGCCTGCGATGGCTCCAAGACGCTCCAAGACCCTCGAGACGCCCGAAGACCCTTTACAAGAGGGCCCCGAAAAGGCAAGCATTACTTGGTTGCCCGTCGGATTCTCGCTGCTTCTGATGATATCTTGTCTTCTCGAGCTTCCGACGTTCCAAGACGGCCCACGAGGCCCCGTACACGGCCCCCAAACTGCCCAAGAGGCCCCTGCAACGGACCCAATCCGCTCAAGAGGGTTACAAGGCCCGCCCGAAGAGGGGCCCAAGACGGCCAACGATCGTCACATGAGGGCCCCAAGAGAGCAACGAAGGAGAACGCGAACAGAAAATCCAATGTTTCTGCCCGAAAAGTCTACCCAAAGGCCACTAGAAGCTCCAAAAAAAACCCCCCAATCAGCCCCCAGAAGCCTCCCAAAGGCCCGACAGGACTCCCTCAAACGGCCCCCAAGACGCTTCAGAACTGCCTCCAAGAGGCCCCGCTGGGCCACCAAACAGCTCCTAAGACGCCCACGAAGAGTCCCAGGATAATGCCCAAGAAACTCACGACGTCCGCGCCGTGGACACCCAACCTCTTCTGGGGGACAGCGCAATAGCGGAAACTTCTGGGGTAACAGAGAAAAGCACGGTGGCACCAAACTTGTAGCCCAGTGTTGAAGTCAGACCGCTTCCCACTGGTTGCAGTTGCTCAAGTGTGTGTAATCGCTTGCGCGGGAAACTCGAAAGATACCGACACTCTTCGCTGTGCATGGACTATGCCGACATTGGAAAACAACGTTGGAAATCTGTTACCGTGCCGCTGGGCACGGAGTGAGCGTGTCCTCAGGTCCATTGCCCACTTCCCTGAGCCTCAGTCCTCCATCCAGAGGAGGGGCACGTACAGCAATTTCCGAAATCTCTTGGGGCTTGGTGCGTGCCCCCTGGGCTTTGGGAAGTGGTGGCGCGTGATTTGCTTCGGCCCAAGAGGGCCCCAAAGTGGGCCAATAATGCCCCAAGAAGGCGCCAAGACAGGCCACGAGGGCCCCGAGACGCCCAATGATCGCTCCAAGACGCCCAAGATGGGCCCAAAGTTTGAAGCGGTGCTTCCAAGACATAACTGTATAAAGCCACGTAAAATGTACAGGGATGTCGGGGAGCTATGAGGTGAGGGATGGGGGGGAAACACAAGCCGCACTTTTCTCCTGCACCGCCGCAGATTGAGCGCTGGCGACGCTGGCAGATAGGGCGGCCCTGCCTTGAGCCCCCCCTCAAAAAAACAAAAACAGCGGAATCAGGCAAGCATGCGTCCCATCCCTGGGGCGTCTCCTCAAAGTCGAGGTGGTGGGAGACGAAGCCTGCACGTTGCTGCCCTAGCGTAGGCTCATGGCTGCCGAAAAGGAACAGGCAGACGTCTAGCACGGCTGCCACACTTGCAGTGGAGCAAGGGCCAAGAAAAACGGGAGTGCGGAGTGCCGGGTCGTGGTTCCATGGCACGGTAAACTCAGCGCCCGAATGTATCAGAGCAACAATAAGCTGAACACATACTGCCAATGCTCGGCCAGCCAGAAGGCCGCCCAGAAAACTCTGGGGAGCGCCGGTGGGGCTGATCCCGCATCGGCAGAAGGATGGTTAGCCTCGCGTATCCACGCAACTTCAGCCATGCAAAGAAATCCGCCGATCCGGCGTGTGAGTTCAAGAGCGCGAGCTTGAGCTTCGCTTGAGCTCCCCTCTGCAACGGGGGGGCCCCCCGTTCAGCGTTTTCGCACGCCCCCCCCCGAAAGTCCATCAACTCGAGGCCTCGTTGGGGAAGTCTCTCATCTTCTAGGCTCTCGAACGGGCGTGCCACAT